ATATCGTATCGTGACCCCTCTGTCATGATATGTATCGTATCGCCAAATTCTTGCCAATACACAGCCCTACAATCCGTTTACTAGACACCTTAAGGATTACAAAAAGTTAGTTTAAAAATATATATCTTTCGGGTGCATGGGACCCCCCTCCCCTTCCTACTAGACCAATTTTACAGTTAAAGTATATGTTTATCAAATAAAATCTAATGTTACAACTAATCAGGGATCCCAAATTAAAAATGATTATCTGCACAAACTCAGATTTGCATTGAATAGACGCTTGTTAATCCACGTAGTTCAGTTTAGATAAAATGAGACAAGATTTGAGTTTTTATCCTGAAGGATATTCACAAATTTAAGGACATTAATTCACAACAAAACATTTTCATACATCATCGTCCAGGTGTGTAATCTTAGTAACTGATATTGTCATGAATAAATATAACAGAGTATCATCAGCGTAACATTCCATCACTTCATCTGCCCTGTATGAGTATCTGGTCTTTCTGGAGTCCTTGGGACTTCCTTGCCCATGTTCTATTGTTGGTGGTGCGGGGGGATGCCGGACAGACCCGGTAGACCCAAACATGTAATGAGGGTTTGCTGGGAACACCTGAAGAAGCTGTCAGAACGATCTTCAACCCACACCTCCAAAAGAAGTTTAAGCTGAAGGAGTTCTTTGTCTGTTAGGACTCTGGAGACGACCTCGTTTATCTGGTTTATCTGGTTCATTAAATATTTTGCAACAAACATAAATTGCACGCCCACAGAAGCAATTATAAATGTACCTGCCTTTTATGGCAGTGGGTAGAAAACAGCACAGTTGTGATTGTCATGAACCTGCCTGTGTGTTTGTTGTTACAGGTGTGAAATGTGTGGGATCTGGGCTTTGTTCGGCAGCGATGAGTGCCTGTCGGTTCAGTGCACGTGTGCCATGAAGATAGCCCACCGAGGCCCGGACGCTTTCCGCTTTGAAAATGTGAACGGRTTCACCAACTGCTGCTTCGGTTTCCACCGGCTGGCCATTGTGGACCAGCTGTACGGGATGCAGCCTCTGCGTGTCAAGAGGTTTCCTTACTTATGGCTCTGCTACAACGGAGAGATTTACAACCACAACACTGTAAGACCTGCTCTCTGATAGTGACATTTTACACACACTTCACACGATGAGCTTGTACTAATGGACCAGTTTTTATAGATTCACTGCACTGACGTTGCAGTTTCATACTTACATTCCAGTATACCCGTAATGTTGAATTTAGCAACATAATGCATCAGAATACAGTATGGCAGGGGTTCTTAAACTTT